GGACCTCAGTAGGCCCAGAAATTCTCTGTCCTGTAAAATATGATTATTTTACTCTTTGTCTTATCACCATTTACCACCTTTCTGTAAAGTTGCATTTGTCTTATCTTTCCATTGTAGTCCGGACTCCTCCTCTTCGCTCTCCCATTTCTGGTCGAACACCAAAACGGCGCCTCATCACTCCCATCCCAGGTCAGCACCTCCACTGCTAGACCTTTTCTCGGTCTAGCTTTTCTAAGGATGAAATTCTTTTTTTTTCTTTAAGCATATTGGTGAGACATAAATCCACTCAAGGAGGGATGAAAGGACCAATGAAGTAAAACTATGTTGATGAATGTGATTTTTATATTGGAAAAGTAAAACAGTGTTTATTGGCACTATTGTTTAACCTCTTTTATTGTTATTTATGTTTGATTGAAAAGGTTTGAGATCTTTCGGGGGGTTAAATGGGCTTCCATACTTTCCATTCAACTGTGAAACATTTTCAAACCTCAGCCTGAAGTGAAAGTGTATTGAACTTGAAAATAGTTCCTGTAACAACATTTGTTCTCCTTCTAGATTACCGGGGAGGCTTTGAGCTCCACAGTGCTGAGGAGGTGGAGAAGGAGGGCCACCTGCTGGAGGAGCTGGAGAAGCTCAGCTTGACCGGGCCCCGTGTGTCCAAAGACAGGCTCCACACCTCCAGGTCCTTCACACCTCTGCTGGACATACCGGTGGATGGATACAACACAGAGTCCAGAGACCTCAGACCTCCAGCTGCCAGTCCAGTGCTCCCCAACTGGCTGCTGGCCCGCAGCACCGACTCCAGGCCGCCTCTCCAGACGGAGATCGGCACGATTCGCTCCGTCCATTTTGATGAGGTGTCGCTGCACTCTACTTCAGATAAGGGAGATACGAACTTAGAACAGGGACGGCTGCCGTTAAGAAACAGTCGCTCTAAAGGCAAAAAGGAGAAAAGTGGGGACAGGAGTAAAGAAGCCGTGTTTACGCTGCAGAGCGCTGCTCGCAGGAGTCGGCCTTTATTGTCGCAGGTGTTTGGTTCAAATCAGAAACTGGGGAGTGAACAGGTGAACGGTCATCAGGCTTCTTCTGAGGACAGGATCAATGGCAGCGACTCCAAACAGGAGTATGAGCTCCGAACTGTCAGCATCTCCAAGACCAAACAGTCTCTGGGTAAGTAACTTTATTTGATGCCACTCTCACATTCAGAATAACTTTGTACCTAGTTTCCCAAACCAAGTTAAACTGAGGCATTATAAACTTTCATGCGACTAATTACAGAATAATGGAAGTAATTTTTAGTAATGCTTCTGAGCAAGAGATGCTTGGTATACACCCTTCTCCTTCAGCCATTTAAAAACAATTTGAAAAACAATGTGTGCAGTCTGCTCTCACATATCAAAGTGAAAATTAAAAATCATTTCAATTGCAAATGTTTATCACATATCAGAAAAATAATCCAGTGAAATGTGTTTCTAAAAAAATCTGAGGCTGGAAACAAGCTGACATGCTTGATTTTCATGTGGTAGCCTGCCCCTCGATACCCTGGCTCTCAAAACATAATGCCGAGCTGCAAGAACGCATTGTGTTGCAACAGTATGCATGGAATTGATTGATCCTGTGGAAAACACTGGAAAATACTAACTGTATGGCATACATTTTTGTATTTACTTCCTATATTTAGATTAAATATGACATTGTTTATGTATGCCTCCAAGTACGCCTCTGACTTGTGATGCTGCAGGTATCAGTATATCTGGTGGGATGGAGTCAAAGGTTCAGCCGGTGGTGAAGATTGAGAAGATCTTTCCTGGAGGAGCTGCCTCCACCTGTGAAGTTCTCAAGGTAACATGACAGTACCAAGCAGAAATCTTATAGAAAGAAGACTTATCAGACCAGGCAGAAATCTTCTATTGTCCAATTTTAGTGATTGCAGCAAATTGCAGCTTCAGTTTCCTGTTCTTACCTAACAGGAGTAGCATGTTGTGTGGGTTTCTGCTGCTGAAGCCCATTCATTTCTAGGTTTGCACTGAGTTGCTGCCATGTGTGATTAGCTGATTAGATATTTGCAAGCAAACAGTTGAATAGGTGTACCTAATGAAGTTGCCAATGAGTGTATATAGTTCAGTGCATTTATTCTGTCAGTGTCTGACTGGATCTCCCTCTGTTTCCCAGGCTGGATTTGAGTTGGTGTCTGTGGATGCTGTTTCACTGCAAGGGGTCACCCATCAGCATGCCGTTGACATAATCCGAAAAGCCTTCAGCAATAAGGCCAAAGACCCCATGGAGTTTGTTGTCAAAGTCCCCAAAGATCTTTGAAAGGACTCTGAGATGCTTTTGTGGATTTAGAAAAAATATCCAGTGATAAGCAGCCGCCGGAATTTAACTTGGACACAGGTAAACTTTTACCAGCACACACACTGCTGAGGTCTGGTATGCATTTTTTGCCATTCAAGTTAAATTTGGGAACAAGGACACAGAAACTTTCTGAACTGAAGCAAAGCTGCAGATAATATTTAAGAGAAAATGAACAAACCAAAAAGTTGTGTTTGTGTACAAATGAAATCTCTCACTTTTTCACAACCCTGGGGCCAGTGCCCGTCCAGAACATTTTTAACTTGTTTGACCAATATCCATTAGTGCATAACAGATGGAGAACTGTAGGTTATGCTCCTGAATTTTAAACTGTGCAGGATGGCAAACTTCAACTTTTGAGTGCCTTTGAAAGCCCCAGTGGACTGAATATTAATAAGAATCCACGTTAAGGTGGCTTTTAATTCAATTTTCTACCTGAAGAGGGCAGACACGGACCATTCACAATATTCCTGTGGACAGCAGCTAGCAAGAAGGATTTCCGAAAAGTTACACCAGAAAATACTAAATGTAAACAAAGAATTAAAAATGGGAGAAAATACATCTGTACATGAAGGAAAGACCTGGTGTAATAAATACAAACTGACACAGCTGTTAAATTTTTGTCTCTTTTTTTATTATTAAAACCAGAGTGGGTTTGTTCAAGAAATGTACAGCATGAAAATATACATTTAATGTTTTCATACAAATATTGTGGATTATAAAATTATACTGAGGAACCAAAACAAACATCTACACAAACAGTAATATACAGGCATCATATCTGTAGGAGCAAAATATAGAACGTGGGACATTGCTTTGGTCTATTCACAGTGGCTATGCTTTTATTGTGAGATGAACACATCTCTGGAAGAAAACTTTATCATGTTATGGACAAGTGAGGTTTATTTACATAATAATGGAGGATAATAATGATTCACTCAGCAGTGAGAGAGGAACAGGACATGTCTCCTCCTGTGGTACAGGGGCGTAAATAAACAAATTCAAGCAGTCGGTGGAAAATGAGTTGGACTTTAAACGAAAACGTCACTTGGTACAAGAGCTCGCCATTTCAGCGATGAGTAATACGGAAACGTTCATAACACTTTATCCACACAGAAAAACGACGACCTCTTTGAGAGTAGTTTCTCCAATTATGATTAAAAAACAAAACCATGATAAAGGGGGAAAACAGTCACAATATACTGTGTGATATAAGAAATTAGGCATTATGATTTCCCTTTAATATCTGGATGTTTGAGGAGATCCAAAACACTGCATCTAATTCCCAACACTGTCAACCTCTCCCTTATTTACTTCTGCATGCTCAGCAGCAGGTCCACAACCACAAAATAAGGCTGCTCGATTTAGGCAAAAGCCACAATCATGATAATTTTGGACAAAATCTTGCAATCCTGATTATTTAACATGATTATTGATGATTTAAAACCGTGAATTTGCTTACTTGATTTATTACCAGACAAAATTATCATCCATATTGTCCTGATGTCGTATTTCTTTAAAGCCAAAATAGTTTGATCCTAAACTTAAGGGAGAAGGTAACTGTGTTTCCACCAAACACTAACAAAATGAAGACAGTCTAGCTTTTGCAAAAACAGCAAGACGATTATGCACAGGTGTACATAAGTAAATAAATCATGGCTAATCTCCATTTTGCTGCTTCAGTTTCAGAGTCCTGGGCTATTTCTCACCCGTAAAACACATGCTCAGCATTTTACTAAGAGTGAGCACACTTTTTAGCGTAGATTTGAATAAGATGTGACTGACTGTACTACAGCACTGGTAACAGAAAGAAGTAAACATGACATGGAGATCGTTTTTGTTCCGTATCTGGAAATTAAAGCCACTGTATGGTACAGAAAAACTATAAATCGAACAGTAAACAGGAAGTGATTTGGGACATTAATGTTTTTTGGTAAATATCATCTTTAAAGCAATGATATCATGAAGTTACTGTCCTGTTAAGGTTTTGGAAGATTTTATCCTCATGTTCTGCTGCTACTCTCCGGGAGAGTTATTTAATCCAATCTTGAGATAACCGTGGCACAGATGTTTGTGTCTGTGCGAGCTCAAAGCTGATACGTGTAGTGGTGTTAAAGTAATATTTGTTCCAGGCATTGTTAAATACTGTGAATTAAGACTAGACAGATGTTGATGACACGGCTTCCACCCTCTCCATTAATTTAGGGATAAGGGGAACCTATTGTGCACATTATGAGCTCTGGGGAGTACACTGGTTGAATGTCTCTGTCAATTCTGACAATTTTTTGCCATTCCTTGCGAACCTTCAAATCACACCAGAACGCAGCATGGTGAAACTACAAGCATTGTCTTAAGTGGATGCAATCAGCTCCAGCTGTACCGAGTGTAAATCCTGGGGTTATACTTGTCAAATATCTCATACTGGGCCTTAAGGCAGCTCTAAGCGATCTTTTGATTGGCTGCCCACCGCTAACAGAAGGTGTGAACAGTAGGTGGCTGGGGCTGATGTGTGCCAGATATGACTATATTAAGGACATGCACTTTAAAAAGCCAGAGCTTTTGGCTCACAGGGATTACTTGCTCAAATGCTGACCTAATTTTTTTTTTTTGATTTTTTTTAATTGGCCATTTTTAATATGAGCATCCACCTTGTAATAGTATAAATGTGAAAAAATAAAATAAAATAAATAAAGACTAATAGTCCACTTTGTATTTCCAAACTATCAGAGTGCATTTTTAAGAAGCCTTAAGTTTGTTTTCCAAGATCATTACATGTCCAGAAACAACATATTTGGGCAACAAAAAAACTAGGGTTTTGTTTTTTGTTGCTACAGTGAAAATAAGTAGAGAACGATCAACAGTTTACTTGTTGGTCATGAACAGTTAGCATAAAAGCTTGACTAGTTCTGAGGAAAACAACAAGATAGACCTGTCAGCGATTAGCACCAGGCTCTGATTCACTCACTCTTATCATGACATCCTGATTGTGTGGTATCCCACAATCACTGACGAAAGCGTGGGCTCCGTCTAAATGAACTGCACTAACGAGAGCTGACTACTAACACAGAGTGGGAGTGCTAAAGCCAGCAGGGAAGGTGGAGTCATAACCAACACAGGGGGAGGATAGCGAAAGGTTGAGAGAATGAGAGAAGTGAGTCACCCACAAACAAAATCTCCCACGAACTTTGAAAAGCGTGAGAGGACCAGGGCTCGTATGCTTATATCTGGTCGGTGTTAATACTAACAGACATTAATAGAAGGGCAAAGGATTGAGGTGGAGGGCTAACAACTAATTAAAGGTCAGTGGCTTTAAAGTGAGACTTGTAGACCAGACCAATGAAGCAGAAATCAAGCGGTGCAGGTGTGAAACACCACTTCTTTTTACATTTTAAGTACTTTTATGCTTGTCTGAACATGAAGGAGGAAAGACAATTAGCTGACAGTAGTGCAAAATTAAAAAAAAAAAGAACAAACACAATCAAAGGACAGATACGAGGGTCAAATTTCTGTTGCGGCAATTTCATCAAAGTTGATCTCATTGCCGCTGCCCTCATCATCATCTCTACTTTCCAGTTCCAAACTGAGCTCCTGCAGGAGCTGCTCCAGCTCTCGGTTCCTGCGATACATCTGCACATAGTTCTGCTGCAGCTGCTTCTGGTAGCGAATTACTTTGTCCTTTTCCTCCTGCCATATCTTGCGCTCCTCCTCAAAGCTTCCCAGTTGCTGCTCAGCTTTTTGACGCTCAAAAGCTAACTCGGATCTCATCCTGTCCATCTGCACCTTCATGCTCTGCAGCGCCTCGGTGTTGCTCTGCCGCTGAGCCTTCGCTTCGTCGCTCTCGTAGGCGAGCAGCTGCTCCTCGGCTTCCTGAAACACCTGACACTGTCTGTTTCCCGGGCCTTGATTGACCAGAGCATCTCGGAGATGAGCCATTTCCCCCTCCAGGCGTCCTACCTTTTCTCTGAGTAGCTCTGCTTCGCTCTTGCGACGCTGAAGCTCATTTTCACACACCTCCAGCTCCAGTGTTCGAGTTCGGATGGTGCCGTGGGCCTCCTGGAGCAGCACCTGGGTGTTGGTCAGCTCGCCACGAGTCTCCCTGAGTTGACCCCGCAGTGAGACGATCTCCCCCACACGCTGAGCTAACTCACTCTGCACTTCCTTCAACTGCTGCTTCAGCAACGAGATTTCCCCAGACTTCTGACAGACCTGAGTGGAGAGAAGCATTTAGGAGGGAAATTCAGTCAATGAAGTGTCAACAAAGAGCTCTGTTGGTTTTGAAGGTTAGATGGTACTACTACTAAAATGGATAAAGGAGTTGTTGTGCTTTATAGATGAAAGATTTTAGAGAAGGCTAAATAAAATTTGTGTCCCTGACCTGCTGTTTGGTGGTTTTTATTTACTGTCTTATTTACAGATTTAATGAGGTAGACCTCATCCATAGAGGTAAAAAGTTTGACTTTAAAGGTTTGCAGCTCGTCACTAGTTGGTTTTCCAGATGGAAATTTTTAATACAATACCCAAGCTCTTAAACAATCTTACTTAAACAAATAAGTGCAATGATTCCCATTATCAATCAAACTGACATTTATTTATGCAGACAATCGATTTGATCAGTAATTAAATGTCAGAAAAGAGTGAAAATGGTTCATTTCAGAAACTCTCTCTTGAAAAAAATGTCATAAAATACAACCAAACAGTTTTCAGTCTGAGAGGCTAACGTTTGTGTGTGCAGGTAATTATTTTAGATCCAAAATTAAGTACAAATATAAAGTATATAGCGCTTTTTAGAATAATAATACACTAAAATGTTGCAGAATCGTTAAGAAGGTGTGGGGACTGCTTTGAACTTTAGAAAGGATTTGTATTTTACACAAAATCAGTCAGAATAATTAATATAAACCATGAAATAGTTACTTTTACGTTTTGAACTGACTGAACTTTTTCTTATAAAATATTGGATATTTTTCTTTAAAAGAAGCCTTTTTTTAAAAGTATTTTTTTGTTATCACTAAAACTCATTGGATGACATTAATTTCATTTCATTCACGATTACAGCAAGACATTAAATTAGTGATTTGATTTGAACAGTTCTTATAGCAGTGATGAGTTTAATGAAGGATGAGACGTGGCAAAAAAAAAATCACTAAAAGGGCTCAATAATACACTTTAAAACTCAAATTTACTTCATGTACTTATTACTACATTATATAAGAGTTTAAAGAACATCCGCTCACCTCCCACTTGGTCTCCTCGAGTCGAGGGCCCAGCTGGATTTTCTCATGCTCATACGAGGTGCAGCGCTCCTCAAGCTGCTCCCTCTCCTTCAGAAGCTGAGCAAAGTCCTCCTGCAGTTTCTTCTTCTCCTGCTGGAGCTGGAAAACCTGCAGCCATAAAAAGAAAAAAGAGAGAGAGAGAGAGAGAGGGGGGGATACACTTAAAACAATGCTTTGTTTTCAAAAGCCAGCACTGAATATTCTTGTCTGAGGTTCTAACCTGCAGCTGAAGCACCTGCTGTGCACGCTGGGCTTTCTGAGAGGCGACCTGCATCCTGGTGGCACAGCCCTGCCTCAGCTCCTCCAGTTCCAGCTCAAAGCGCTTCTGCTTCTCCTCATAAACCTGTAAAGCAGAACAACCAGTGGCAGAGAGGTCAAAGTTCAGATCTGTGTAAGTTTAGATAAAGCAAATGTCCTGCTTGGATATTTTGTTTGGAGGTCTCACCTGACATATTGCAGCTTCATTCTCATCCAGATTGTCTCTGAGTTGCTGCAGCTCCAGCTCTCTCTCCCTCAGTTTGTCCTCTAGATCCCTTACCACCCCCTCATAGCCTTCCACAGGGCCAGGAGAACGCCCACCAGACCCACTGTCAGACAGAGGCTGCCCCCGCCCACTTATCGACCCAGAGCCTGTGCTCTTACTGGAGGAGGATCGCCCGCTGTCTGAGTTGGAGTGTCCATGTACAGTCACTGGCGGGGCGCTCTTCATGGGCTCTAGGTGGCCAGCGGAAGCCTCCCCCGACGGCAGGTTGTAGCTGGCAGCACTGTAAGGCGGCAGGCTAGAGAGGGAATTGCGTCCAGAGTCTGATAATGAGCAAGACTGGCTGTTACCACCAGCGGCGTTACGCCCACCACTATAGGAGCTACGCTTCTCAGAGCAGGAGGGCGACACATCTCTGTGGGTGGGGCTGAGCAGGTTCAGGTTGTTTTGGCTTTCTGGCGCATTGGCACAATGGCGAGGCGAGAGATACTGCATCGAGGAGCGGCTCTTGGGAATGACGGGTTTGAAGGCAGTGGGCCGCAGCACTGTTTTCTCCATATTCTAGTAAAAAGTAAAAAGAGTGAATTTGATATAATGTAAAGCTTTACAAAGCAAAATTAAGCCTAAACAAAGCTGTGAATAAGTAGTTAAAATATGTTTTATGTGACACAGGCCCTGCTTCTGGGAAATGGAGTCTTTATAGGGCGGACAAAACTGAATGATATGGACCACATATATGATATGCACTGTGGAGCCTCACACACTCACCTTCTCAAGTTTTCCTGACACTGGGATCAGTTTAGGAGGAGGTCCTCCAATATTTCCATTTAATCCTTCTTTAATCTCGTCTACTTCACTTCCTGGGCTGCCAGGTGTCACATGACTGTCATTCCAGTCACCTATGTAGTCCTCATTCAGATATGTGTAGTTCCCGTTCCCAGTCTCCTTCTCCAGCCCTCTGCTGGACATCGTGGAGTTCTGTTTCTTGACTGGGGGAATGCTTTGCAGTAACAGATCCTGTTGGGGCGACTCGGAGTCCACGCGGGAAACTCCTGGTGTGGGCCGTCGAACTCTGGCTCCCAGCTCAACAATTGGGCGATGGTCCTGGTAGGGACCAGGGTGGGTGGTGATGAGGCTACCGACAGAACCCATAGGATCCAGAGTGGCCAGTGGCGCGTTGATGGGGGGGGAAGGGGCAGAAGGGTGTCGTCTGCGAGCTCCTCCACTCAGGCCTGGGGTGTGGGGCTCAGCAGATACAGGTAGAGGCTGAACCAGGGCCATGGTGGCAGCTCAGAGAGGTCACTCGTGCTGAAAAAGAACAAATGTGAATGTGTTAAATAGTGACAGACTGATAGCGTTCCTTTTTTCCCCTGTCATGGGGACGGTTTCAAAGAGGGACACTCATAATAAATCTGTCCCAAACTTCAAAATAACTACATCAGCATACTTTATGTTCAAGAAATCCCTGTATGATTTCAAATAGAGAAGAATCGTTACTCTGTTCTCAGGATAAAATCATTCTAATAGGAGCTAGAAATGAGCGCAAGTCCAGACCTCGCTCTCCCTCGCCAACTCCTCCATCTCCTCCAAGTAGCCAAGAGGTGTAATCTATCCACTCAGTCACCTCCCAGTGAGACCCGCCCAAGAAAAGCTCACTATGAGGTGTCCAGGAGGCCAAACCACTCAAACTGGCTCCTTTCAATGCACAGTATCATCTACTCTGTACCGCTCCCAAATGACCAAACTCCTCAGTCACCCGTCAGAGGAAGGACATTTCAGTCGCTTGTATCCACAATCTGTCTTTCAAGGTGACAGTAGATTTACCAGGACATCAACCTTCAAATTCATCTCACACTTCATAACAGATCTATACAGAGTCCACATGACTGGCAATGCTAGGACACTTTATCTGTTGACATCTCACTCCAAAGTTCGTCCAAACGGAACAAGACTGAAGTACAAAACTGGAGAAAATATTTTTCCCCCCCACGCTAAAACAACGATGAGTGCTAGGGCAAAAACAAACCAATGCCAAATAGGTTAATAAAATATGTAAATGAATCAAAATTAACAACTGTCATCCTGTGGAGCTCCAGTTATCCATTTGCTGCACCATGAAAACATTGTTTTGGCTTAAGAGTAAGTCTCAAGTCCTCTGAAAGCCCTTCATAGGTGATTCCTTATAGAAAACTCTGTTAAATCTTAAAACATTTCCATCAGATGCTTCATGCTTTAATTTTTTTGCCATGCATAATTTAACCTTTATACTATGAATATTTAATGATTTACAATCACTCAACTACATAGGAGTGGATCTAAATTTTGCACTTCTTAATTCACATTATTTTTGCCCTCATTACTTAATAAAAACAGGAATTATCCACTTGAAATTTTCACAGCTGATAATCACATTTAACCTTTTAAAATCTGCAGCCAAATCAATTTTACACTGACTCCAAGTGTCACAATCTGAAGCTAAAATCAGACTTTTGTTCAGTGAGATTTTTATGTAACCAACAGCATATCTGCACCAGTTTCATGTCTATGACGTAGATGAATAGAGACATGTATATTTGATCATTCACTGAAGAAAACTTCAAAGAGTACTTTTCTGGGGGGGTAAGTTTCCACCATGTAATATAGGTGGTTGGTTAAAGCAAGCTGGAGCGCACTTACTTTCTTACCATAATTCCTTCTATATCAAAACAATTTTTAATATAGTGATTTTTTTCACACTCTCAACTGAAGCTCAAGGCTGTGAAATGGAGAAACGACACAAGTGTTCACATGTTATGGTTTCAGCATATCCTTTAAGAAGTTTCTCAAAAACCTTGTAGGCCCTCGCTCAAAGAGGGTATCAGGATCAGGAGGCTGAGCAAGTAGATGAAAACTGCAACTGCATGTTCCCCTCTAAAGTCATTTCATCTTATTTGGTGTGAAGCACTGACTGACTCTTCAATTATAACTGTCATAGTAAGGGCAAGGTCTTATATTAAGCCTTATAAAATCAAGTCGAATCTTAAGTACTTAAAGACAAAAATCAGTCACTGTCTGAGTGCAAACTAGCAAAACATGATAATCATAGCATTTTTCTATCAAAGGCTTCGTTAATAGTGTTTTCAAATAGCTGTGTCAAAACCTGTTGCTATAATATTTACTGATCTTATTCAGCAACTAAAGAAATGAGCTGAACTGGCATGTTTTTCTTTAAGACCTAACAAGAAGTGATTGCAGCATTCAAATCTCCCCACAGGGTTTCTTTCAAGGAATTTTTCTCACAGCGCCTATGACACAGACAACACAGAGATGATATACAGTAGACTGAAGGATACAAATATCCCACAAGACCATGGTGGGCCACACACAGACAGCCAGGGACAGGCCATTCATTATATCCATCCAAGCAGCACAAACAGGGCTTGAGGCATGGGGCAGCACAAGGAAGGGGTCTCTCTTCATTTGAGATGTAAAATGCCTTGTAACATGCTGGCATTTTCCCTGACAGCAACAAAGGCTACTGTCTCCACACATCTTATCAGCCTTAGGAACAACTGAAAAGTTCATAACTGTGGATAATACCACAAAAGGTAAAACACTGAGAAGAGGAGACAGGTTGAACTTGGCGTGGTACTTCTGCAGTGGGTGTTTAAAGCTACTAAGTAAAGGCAATAATACACAGAGAACAATTTTTAAAAAGCGTGACAGACTTACTTTTTCACTCCTTCAAACGTCTGGTGGTAAATGTTGACATTATAACAGCAGGCACAACAGACTATGATATCAACAGTTTATTCCCGGCGCTGCCCAGCAGTCGAGCGTGAAGAACAATGGACAACACGACGCCTGATGATGAGATCATGGTGTACAAAAACCAACAACGGAGCCTCTTGTAGACTAAAAACATCATCACAGTGAGTCAGACTGTCAGGATATCCAACCTGTGGGTGTGTCGTCGCCTTAAGTTTCAGAGAAGTCATTTAAAGTATGACAGGAATTCAGTTTTCACTACGTCACTCACATGTTTTTGGTAATCAGCCGTTGCGGTCCAAGGGTGTTGTAATGATTTACCATTATGGGGTTTTCTGTGATATTGCTGTGACTCTTGTTATGATCTTATATTCTAACCTTCACAGTGTCCTTTGTTTCTGTGTGTGGTTTAGCGTGTGTGTGTTTCCTCCCTCCCCGTCTGTCTCCACCTGTGTTGTTTACATGCACCCATGTCTCTTTTCCCACCTGTTTTCTAATCCCTAGTAAGGCCTCAGGCCTTTCGACCACATGTAAACGGTGTTTTAAGTCACTCAAAACTTTTTTTCTTCTTTTTTTTAAAGCTAACACCAAAT